TATCAACTTTCTAACATTTTCATAGGAACAATTAATTTCATTGGCTTATCTGAGTGAGCGTAAATTTATCAGACTGGTGGTTCACGTGTCAGTCACAAGCATAAATGTAATTTGTTTTGTACTGTAAATTGAATATATTTTATAAAATTCATCGATTCAACGACAGTCGAGAGAAGGGAATTCAATAACTTCTCAAAGTCTGGACTACATTGGACAGGTAGTAACCTATCAGCATACTTATTAGCCCCTAATGACGCCGCAGCAGTGTTATTTTACATTTGATTACTTTCCCAACACATTAGGTTTGTTAACAGGTCTAATAGATTTGTTTTTAAAATGTTAAGTAACTGATAACGCAAATAAATTAAGGTATTTTAGCATGAAATAACAGTAAAAGATTCATTGCCCTAAAAAGGATAAACAAGTTATTTTTTTCATTACATACCAATAAAAAATTTATCTGAAAGAGTTTTCAATGTTGACGTGCCAACAAAGTCGTCGGGGCACTAATTGGCTGTTATGACAAAATCAAGAAGCAATTAAGTCCAATATTCAGTTTTTGTATCACTGCAGGATAATATTTCTTAAGCAACATCTTAAAATTGATTTAATGACTATTTCCGGTCACCGCTCACTTTGTGAACACATCAAGATTTAGGATTTTGACAAAAAATAAATTCTGTTAAAAGATTGGAAAACTGTATCTATAAAAATTTCCAAGTTATGAGGGTTTAAAGTTTGCACATTGACTCTATTTATTGCTGTTGGAAAAATAATTTTCCAAGTTTTTTTGCTACAAGCTATTAGAAGAGGAAACAAGGAAACTGAATCCTAAATTGTAAATCTGTTTCATGTTATTTGTGACTTTTATTGGTAAAATTTTTGTACCTTTACTAGATAATTATAAAAAAACATATACAAGATCATTAGTATCATTAAATTGACAAAAAAAAGTAAAATGTCAAAATTTTTTGACAAAATTTTTTAAACATTCTATGTTCCTGGTATCTTATTTTACTTGAAATTTTTGAAAAGTCTAAATTTTAAGTTTAAAAATCGAAATTCTAAGTATTTATTTTTAATTGGGAATGTCAAGTTTGAAATATGGAAATTGCTAAGGTTATCCAGAATTCCAAGTTTAGGTATTTAAAAAAATCAAAATTTTGGATTTGAAATTGAAAAAACCTTTCGAAAATTGTGACTAACCCCCGTTTTAGGACTAAATAAAGTGTCACTTTATTATAAATAATATTGCGGTAGCCAGACAAAAACAGATTTTTTCAGTTTTTCAGTTCAATGACAGTTTTGAAAAATTCATATTAACACATTAGTATTGCGTGTATTCAGAATAAATTTTATCTAACAGAGTTTTATTTGTTATAAGCTTTTATTTAACTTGCTTAGTTATCTGGCTGTCTGTCTGCACGAAATCTTGCGAATCAAAGTTGAGACAGTTTCTGTCATCCCAACAAACTAAAATTGCAAAAAAAAAACAAAAATAAAAAAACAAAAATCCAAAAAACAAAAAATACGAAAAAACAAATAAAAAATATATAAAAACCACTACAAAAATAAAATAAAAATCAAGAAAATTAAAACTTAAATAATTTATCAAAACAATAGGTAAAAACAAAAAAATATACTATGTAAAGAAACGTTTTTTACAAATAAGCTTTTATTAGAAAAATGTACTAATAAGTAAAAAAAAATATTTTTTTTCTGTCAAAGAACAATAATTATGCAATTAGTCTTACTGTTATATCCGCTCCCAAAGCTTTTATAAATTTTAAAATCTTAATGTGCAAGCAAAATATTCTCTGACAGAAAAAAAAATACATTTTAGTACATTTTTCTAATAAAAGCTTATTTTTAATAGAAGTTTTTTTTATATATTTTTTATGTTGGGACTAAGAAGCATCTAGTCAAGGGCAACCCAATTCTTGAAGCAGGAAAAGAACCTTTTTGTGACAATGTTTAAAAAAAGATCTCGAAAGTATTGACTTTCATTACAATCAATCCACTTTTACACTGTAGAAAGGTTTTTATCAAACATACAGAGTGAATCAATATTGACTTCTTTATTGTTGTAGATACCTACTTAAAAAATGTATGTAAAAAATTATTGAAGGCTTTCAAATTCCTTGCGTAATATTTCAAAATTTATTTGAAGTTATGTTGAGCAGTTTATAGAAATATGAAATAATAAATCAGTTTTTTATTTAAAAACCCTCCTTCAGAAAAGTTTCAATTTACAAAAAAATTGAAAACGTGTATTCAAACTCTTAATAAATTTATAAATGAGATGTCATATTTGTTCTTTATCGTTTCTACATTGAATTAACATGACTTTGAAGTACATTCTCTCAAACTTTTAACAATTAAATGAAACTAGAATAAGTTTTCAAATAATTAAAGAACTTATATTCCAACTGAAATGAACAATTGTCCTCATACGCAGCAGATAACTTGAAACATAAAGTTTTATTATAGTCATCGTTTCCTTATAAACAAATCCGATTGTAAATAGTTCTTTGTAATTATCAAACTGGTCAAACGTCATTATTAAATGATCATAATTTAACGCACAATCTATGCAAGCAAATTTTATATTACATCGTACAATTTTACATGCAATAAATTACAAACCGCTATACACCGATTGTAATGCTATAGCAAATACATTCAGAGAAGTTGTTCAGCACCGTTGTAATGTTCGTGACAGTATCGCTGCAACAAAATATGCCTGAACACTGAAAAAAACACTGCATGGAACACGCGAATTCCGTTAAGAAAAATTTCATAAATTTATGAGAAGAGCAGATGTTTCGAGTCAAAAATCCATCAGTTTCTGATAAATGAGTCACTCTATCTAATAGATAACTGTCCGAATGTTGACATTGTTCCTGTTTATTGTGTACAAGCCTAATTATCCATGTGGAAAAAATACACTTTTCAGCACTAAAAATGTAATGTTTGATAAAATGTTAGTGAAGCGGAGGATTTTCAGTGTTCTATTCATTTCAGCCTATTTCAGTGCACAAATGAGACAGAAATCGGCTTATCACTTTTCCCCATATATAAATATTTTTGCATATTTGTTATCAACAATAATGGATCAGTAAATAGGATAGACAATGAGTTTATTGAGCAAATAGATGAATACCAAATTTCCTTGTCTAAAATTGTTTCAGTAAATACATCCATTGAAATCCAGTGTTTGATTCTGTTTATCATCTTGGCTCTAATTACGGGATTACTGAAGCTTTGTGAAGGTAGGGATTGTAGCGGTTTCCATGATGTAATTTTATCAATGCATTGAAATATCAAGATTTGGTCCTTATCTTTTCATTTCTTAAATCGAAAATTTACTCTAGAGCGATTCTGAACCGGTTATTAATGATTTTGTGAAGGTTATTTCTAACCTTTCATCTCTATAATCAAGTACTAATTTCAGACGTAATCAGTTCGAGATTGATGAGATTTGTACACAAACAGAAACTTATTTCGATTAGTTACTCTCCAAAGCACGAAATTTTCTCACTCATTCTTCCCACAAAATTAATTTATTATCATTTTAAAAACTTTCTAACAAGTAGCTCGTGTCTTATTAATTCAAGTGAATTGTTCCAATCGCTTACTACAACCCACGCCTAATAAGTGTTGTGATAGCCAGAGCTTTTCGAAATCCATAAACATACAAACTGATTACTTAACAGTTGATATAATTAAGAGGTTTTACGAGGCGGAGATGGGCGTCACTTAATTATTAAATATTATACACCTGTAGGATAATGCAAATTAATCAATGCAGAAATACTCAAGAATGTATTACTGTCTTGGACAAAATTATCATTTGTACAAACTATTTTTTCAGAGAACAAATAAAATTATTTTAAAGGTCAACAATGATAAAGTTTTGTAAGTTTTGTAATTAAACCACTATAATAAAACTCTTTTAATTAAAAAGTGGAGCAAACAACCACTTGACAATACATGAAAAATGAGAAATATTACTTAGATAAGCAATCAGCACTTATTAATCAGAGTATGAATTACCGGAAATAATAAAACAAAATTTTCTTTATTAATCTAATGACAAAAAATAATATTTGTTTAACGCTTAAGAATGACCACAGATGCAATAATTACATAATTATTATTTATATTCTCCATTTAAGGTTGTTTCATAATTATCACATACCTCTAATACAATTTCCAACTGCAAATATTTGTAACATTTCAGCATTTGTAAATGATAAACAAATTGTAACAGCTGCCAAGAATCGATAAATATTCAACCGAATAAAAGTCACAATTTCTGCTTTCTCAACTTTAAGGCTATAGAAATTTAAATTTAATTGTTGTCGCAATTTGAAAGTGATTGATCTTTCTGTTAATATTTTTAAACAAATTTTTGGTAAGTAATTACGAAGGCGTTCTTTTTTTGTACTCCGGAACATCGCATTTTTCTTCATTTATTTTTTGTCCTTCCATTAAATAAACGCAAATTTTCTCATTTTCAATTAAAAAAAATCTATAATTTGATTTGGTTGTGAAAACACTGAATTATTTTTCTAAGAGAAAAATATCTGGTTCCGTGTATTGTATCAATTGACCCGGAAATCTAATATTTTCAATTAAATGAGTATCATATTTTTAATAAATATTTTTTTATTGTTCTTTCTTTGTGTCTTAACATCAAAACGGGGATAAAGTTTTGACAACCAAAAAATTTGGTCATGATATAGGTCGCCACGAAATTTAAATCAAAGCAAACCATTCCGGAAATGAGAAAACAACAAAAACAAATACTTTCAGCAAAGTTTAATTCTTTTTCTATTGACACGAGATTAGTAAGAATTCAACATCAAATCAAATTTTCCGACTGGATAAATCAGTAAATAAAAATAAATGTATTTATACTTATTGCTTATCACAAGTTTTCAAGGAAGAGTGTTGTGATGGATAAATCGTAATTAGAGTTAAAATAGTGTACTTACCGTCCGTTTTTTCAACGACCCTTCTTTTGGAGCCCTTCCTGTTGGTCATTTTCACGGGTAAAGCACAGAATCCGCACGAGTCATGATGAAAATGTGTAAGAAGTAGCCCGTAAACAGAGTGCGCGCGCGAGCTTTTCGTAAGCACGTTTCAGAATGGAGCTTTTCAGGACATGAGTTGAAAGCTACTGAATGTAAAGAGTGCGCGACAAACCACCCTGAATGATGTTGATGATGAAATTGCCCCACTACTCTCCGCGAGAGATGAGTGCAAGTCTAGTGATCGGACGAGATTTCACTATACTATAATATTGACCGACAATGGAGAGTCTGTTTTCGATTTGTTGCTCTCTTATCGGTTGGTGTTTTTAATTAGGGTCGGCCTTTAGATTTCTGTGTTTACGACAACGACTGCGGTTTACGAAATTGGACTTGATTCGACGACAGTTATGTTTTTCGTATCATCGATTTTTAAAAAGTTTTCGATTAAGTTGCTGCGATTTTCATTCTAAAAAAAATATTAAATTAAATTTTGCGGGAAAAAAGAAATGCACAAAACTATAAACCACCCTTTTTTTCAAAGTTTTATTCTTAATTAAGTTTTATTCTTAAGAACACTAGTTTACAAATAATAACTTGTTGAATATACCTTTTATCAAATTATTATTTTTGTCTATTTACCTTTAATTAGGTAAATAAAAATAATTGTTAATTTTTTTATCATGTCACATTTTTTAATGTTATCTGCTATCTGCACAAATGCCTCCGATTTAAAATTTATTTGAAATTCAAATTGTTACTGAATTATTACCAAAACAAAATTATCACCTGATGTGTCTAAATGAGTCTTAAAATACATTTCATTGACTCGCATTTGGACTTGTTTTCTATAAACTTAGGCAGCATGAGTGACGAACAGGGTGAGCTTTCATCAAGATCTGAAGGGTTTTTAAAAATGGGCAGAAAAGTTTTTGGGCCAAAAAAGTAGAAAAAACAAAGTAAAATAACTCATTTTTAATTTGTTGTTTGGTGATTTTTGTTAATTACATATTTCTTAAACGTGACATGGTGGACATTTTTAAATAATTTTTTTGAACTCAGTGCTTCAAAATCTAAATATAAGAAACTATAACTTTCAGCTAAGGTAATGTTGACATACTTTTTACAACAAGCATTTTACTTCAGCATTGTTGTAGCAAACCTTTTGTCCATTCTACTAATTACTGAATTATTGAATTACTTAATATACAGAGTGCGCCAGAACTCGCGCCCCAGAAAACATGGAAGGTAAGATACCAGGAACATGGAAAAAATATTTAAAAAATTCTAAATTTTGCACTTTAACACTGTTTATTTCTATTGACAATTTTTTTCAAACACTAAAAATCCCATAAGCCGCGGTGTTTTTGTCACTATGATGACAGCGACAAAAGTTTGCCCTAACTATTAAAGCGACAAAACGGATCCTAACTTTTGAAAGCATCTGAATCTAGTAGGTCTGCATCATCGGATTTACGTATTCATTAAGGGTGGTTTGCACCAACATTAGTTAAATTTAATCTCGGATTAAGAACAATTGTAACTATAATAATAACAATGGTTACTATGGATTCAATCCGAGATTAAATTTAACTAGTGTTGTCGCAACCCACCCTAAATTGTCTTACCGAATTACACTCAGCTTTTTTTTACGAAGAAAACTTAACATTTTTAATTCGAGTTTTGTTTCCTTTAGGCAATTTAACTCAAAAAACTGCCAGAAAAAATGACTCGTCCTACGGACTCGTAATTTTTTCAGAAGCAGTTTTTTTTCGTTAAATTGCCAGAAAACAAAATTCTCATTAAAATGTCAAGTTTACTTCGAAAAAAAAGCTCTCGTGTAATTATAAGTGAAAAAATAATTTTCCAAATATTTTTCGCTACAGGCTATTAGAAGAAGGAAGCTGTACCCTAAATTGTAACTCTGTTTACTGTTTTTGTGGGTTTTATTTACAAAATTTTTGTACCTTTAGTAAATAATTATAAAAAAACATAGACAAGATCATCAGTATCATTAAATAGACATTAAAAAAATTTCAAATGTCACAACTTTTTGACAGATAGAATTTTTTAAACATTTTTTCCATGTTCCTAGTATCTTATCTTACGAGCACTTGAAATTTTCACTTCCCAAGTCTCATTTTCTTTTGCTTATTTATGCAGATTTTCTAATCTTATTATGTCTTAAATTAGTACAAAAAAACCTCTTGTTTACAATGTTTACAATAAAACTTCAATTTTTCGACTTTTGAGTTGGTTTTTTAATACTGATTGTTTTAAAGTAAAATTTAAACTTTTACTGGTCGATTTGGTTTATTATTTAGTAAAAACACATTATTTTACACAAATAAACAAAATAAATGAGTTAGCGTCATGATAATTTGGCAACAATTTGGTGGCTGCCCCCAAGAATTTTTATTGATTATACACCATTTAAAGCTACGTGAGAAAACAAAACAATTCCTGTTTTTGTTGTGTATTTATTAAATTAGCCGGTATGGAATGGACAAATGTCCTAAAGCCCTTTTTTATTTTTTCAACCACTCAACATGTTTGATTTTTATATAGCACTCAATAATAGTATATTATATCACACGATATTAAGAAGACGAGATGCGTAGCATCGAGGGAAATAATAAATGCGAGGCTATAAAAAAATCTTCTCCTCCGTGTTTTATATAAAACACGGAGGAGAAGATTTTATAGGTATAGGTATTTTTTTCACTAATTGCACATTTATTACTCAGAAATACAAAGGTGCAGAATATAACCTTACTTAATGTGCATGTTACTTCAGACATAACATATCGTAATTCACAAGTATTATTTAATTTTTAATTTAATTAATTAATTTTTTAATTCATTATTTACATGAGTTATTTATTAACTGAAGTTGTAAGTATTATTTTATTCTTTTAATAAATAAAGTTGTCATTTTTTTTTACTTCTGCATCTATTAAAGAAATTTTCTAACTTCACAATGTAAAATATTTAGTAAAGTAACATAGAAACTGCAAAAAAAAAGAAAAAGTGTTAAAATTTTCCTTATTACCGGTAGTATTTCAACATGAAATAAACGCATTTGTTGTTTTGACAATTTTGACATAGACAGAAGGGTTATTCTGATGTTTTTAATGAGGAAGTTTAAGTCTGTTTAAGTCTTTTGATTTGATTTTGCAATAATTTTATCTCTAAATGCTTCCATTAATGAAAATGATTATCGACTTCTAAGAGAGAAAAACAACTTGACAACCTCACGACAAACTAAATAATGGGGCCTTTTACAACTAGGAGTGAAAAAAAGGATTTTAGTAAACCATTAATGAGGTTTTTCTAAATCCTTTTGACTTATTTAATCGAGAAAAAATATGAAACGGACAGTCATTGCACAAAAATAATTTATAAAACATTTTTTGAAAAGATTATTGATGAAATCCTTTAGGTATAAAACAGCTTTTTGTACCGTTAGAGAATTAAATATTCTCTTACACATAAAGTGCACCCAACATCATCAATTAGAGTCCTAAATCCTCTACCTGTATTGCAGATGTTATTCAGCAGTTCAACACTCCCACTCTTAGTACTTAGATTTTCCTGTATTTAGGTCAAAATTTATTACACGTATAAATCACCGGTTGCTATACTAAGCATGTAATACTTAAGATTTTTCATAATGATTTATGAAATGCATTTTCTGCAAAAGGTACTTTTCATAAAGAGGAATTTCTAATAAATATTAATAAAAAGAGAAACTGAAATATTTGCAAGAACTTTAAATAAAATGTGTTTTTGTAAAGATCAAACTTTGATCTTGCTCCACAGTGACTATACGAGTATGCATGCACGTAGTTAACAATTAAATATACCTACAAAGTGCATGCATTTAAAGAGCTTTCTCATAAACTAAACTAAAATCCCCAATAGTGCTTGCCTATTTAATTTCTATAGATTACAAAATTACTTTACTGTTGTAGATAATTTGCCAGTCAAGCCCGACAACCCTGCAGGAAACCGCAAATTCAGATCCAACTACAACCAAAGTAGCCTCTAGCTGCATGACATTGAAATATGAACCCGTACAAAGATCAGAGATTTCCACAGATAAACCCATCGAGTCATATATTCCATTTATTGTCACTAAAGCAGGTGTGACTCGACTTCCATATATAAAGTAAAAGGCCTATAACGCGTCATTTCTAGCTATATGTCAAAAAGTACAACCGTTATTGTAGTATAATATGAAGATATATTTTATGCGGCGGTCTTAATAATACTCATGACTATCACATAAAGATATATAGGGTGCGCCAGAACTCGCGCCCCAGAATAAAAATTTAAGTAAGATAAGATACCAGGAACAAAAAAAATGAATAAAAAATTGTATCTGTCAAAAAAAATTGACATTTGACATTTTTTATGACTAGTCAATGAAACTGATGATATTGTATATGTTTTTTATAATTATTTAGTAAAAAATTGCCAATAAAAGCCACAAATAACATTAAACAAACAAATTAGGATAGAGCTTCCTTGTATCCTCTTCTAATAGCCTATAGCAAAAAAACTTGGAAAATTATTTTTCCAACGAAAATAAATAGAGTCAAAGTGAGAAATTTAGACTTTCGTAACTTTGAAATTTTTATAGATAAATTTTTTTTACTATTTTTTTTTCATGCATTTTTTCTCTGGGCGTGAGTTCTAGCGCTCCCTGTATAAGACAAGAAACTTCAAATCATGTTGTACTCAATGCATGACATTATTTTTCTAGTAATTCCCCATTTTGGGCAACACATGATGGAACTTGGAATAAATACAAGTAGGTAAGTACTTTGGAAGTAGTCAAAGTTTATACTTGCTACTTCATATTGTTACACAATTTAATTATTTTATTATCAGATGATAATTCCAAATTATGTCAGTGTTTTTATTCAAAACAAATACTCCTAATAATGAAAACACTTTAAAAATTGTAACAATTTTCCACTCAGTTACTGCGTAATTAGATACACGTATACCCGTAGTAATTATTAATGATTTAAATATGACAACACTTTGTATTAAGACAGATATTACAGTATAAATCAATTATTGTTAATTTGAATTATAGCAGTGATTTATTACTTATTGCTATCGCAATTATATCCGCATTTCAGCGAAATATTTTTACTTCTTAGAATAAATTCAACTTTTTTCAAACAATATAAATATTCAAATCCCGA